TTGGTATCCTTCCATCTACAGATAAGGATGTTCCTTTCCTCCAGGTATGGGGAGGGCACCTCTCCTGTAAGATCTTATGATCTGCTTTGGGGGCAATGGGGAGGTCAGAGAACCCTTCACGTACCTGCCATTTCTCAAATTCCTTCACCTTAAAATATTTGCTATGCTAAGTTGTCGTGTTCTGTGGTAGCATGTCCAGAACCCTGTAAGAAATCAAGGTTAAACACTACAGTGACCGTCTCAGGTGGGTTGTTGGTTATTAATCGGAGCTTTGGACCATAACTCAGGGTCGAAGCAGGATGTGTCAGTGGTGGTTGGCCTGACCTGCAGTTGGACACCTGCTTGTCCTAGCTGTTATCTTTGAGGGTCTCCAAGTGCCCTTCCAAAGGGGCTGGCTTTATAACCTCAGTCTCCTTAGTGGATGTTAGAACCTTACAGAATTACTTCATCTGATTTGAATAAATGGAAGTCTGCAACCCTTCCTCTGATTGCAGCTAACTTTCTTTAATTAACCTCCTTAACTACCTGCTTAAATTCTATATTCTGCTTATACTTTTTCTGTTCTGGCAGTTCCTGAACTCCTAATTATATCTTGATGACATTCAGTTCACACACCTTGTATTTAAAGTTAAGACAAATCAAAAAAAAAAAATTGCTGTGGAATGTTTACTTGAGCAACTTAATTTTGGGGTGCTGACCCCAGAATGAACTGATTTCAAGATGTATGTATTGGGTTAACTGCTCTGTAAGAGTTGTTAATTATAAACCATTTAAATGCCAGGAAACAGTGGTTACCCCCACCTCATTCCACCCCCCCCTCCAGTGACAATTTAATATGACAGAGACTTAATTTGAAGCCAGTCTTTTTCCCAGTTCCTAACAGTAAAACAATCAGGGTTACATCAGTGACCTGTAATTCCATTTTTACCAAAAATGATAGACGTTACTGTACAAGTTAAAAAAGAAGATGAATTACAGAACACATGCCTATTTTGATCCTCTGGAAGTTATTTTCAGATCCATGAAACACTCATTTCTACCAATCTTGATTTTTCAGGGGGACTATTAAGGATCTCTGTGAAGCTTATGCACCCCAGACCATAACCTGCTCTCAGAGTCAAAACTGTCTATGGAGGGAGGGAGAGAGGGAAGGGAGGAGAGAGGAAACGGAGGAAGGTAGTAAGGAGAGAAGGAAGAGTTTTATGTTATTCTTAACAGATTTCTCCACCAAATGGGACAGGCTATGAGTGGTCAGTAATGGCATGACTGCTTCCAAGCTCTCTCTGCTCCTTTTTTAGGCCCAAGAGTTCAAATTGTCCAAAAGGAAATTGGTATTTATTTTAGAAAGCATGTCTGTTAAGCTGATAGATCTGTTAATTATGAAGTAATGGCGAGTTTGCTTTTTTTGATGAATATACTCTAGGTCCAAACCAATGGAAACATACTGACCATTCAGGATAGTAGGAGACACACGTTACCTCAGTTCATGGGGTTTTAGAGTCAAGGCTACCCAAAGATACAGCCTCAGCAGGGGCCCTGCCAGACCTCTTGGAGACCCAGAAAATTCTCTTCAAAGGATTCCAGGACCTGGTGGTTTGCAGTTGTGAGGACACTGGTTATTTCCTTAGAAGTGGGCTTTCTTTGCTTTCTATCTGACAGTTCCTCCCGTTCTTCCATCATCTTGTATAGAAAGCTGGAGAAGAAAGCCTCTGAATGTCCCCCAAAGGTGAGCTTCCGTGATGTCACTCATCACACTCACACTATATAGGGCCTCAGGACCTTTCTTCAGCGCTGGATAGCACAAGTCCTCATGGAATTATTAGTCTTGAATATTTTCCTGGCAGTGAGGCTCTTATGAAAGAGTTTAATTATATGTGGTCTTGAGATTTTGTTTGAAATGTTCCATGGTCAGAATTTGAACCCAAAGTCCTTTTCATTTTTTTTTTTTTAAGATTTTATTTATTTATTTGAGACAGAGAGAATGAGAGACAGAGAGCATGAGAGGGAGGAGGGTCAGAGGGAGAAGCAGACTCCCTGCCGAGCAGGGAGCCCGATGCGGGACTCGATCCCGGGACTCCAGGATCATGACCTGAGCCGAAGGCAGTCGCTTAACCAACCGAGCCACCCAGGTGCCCCCAAAGTCCTTTTCAAATAAGGCATTAGGATGACAGCAAGTAGGCAACAATATTCTTACTTCCCGCCTAATTAAAAAAAAATGGGGATGGTGGTGGTTGTCCCAAAAGCATTGTTACAAAGGCAGTTCACTTGGGAGCAGGACAAGATAGTCATGCTGTCATTAATTATGGCCTGTTTATAAACTTTAAAACAATATCCATATATTTAAGCACCACTGTGCCTTTTTGAATTATGAATAGAACTCTTAAAAAAAAAAAACAACTTCCTTGCTACTTTGATTGATTGATTCAGAAATTAATAACCAAAGGGGAAAATAATCCTTAGGTCCAGTTTATCTCAGATATGTCCAATTACAAGAATGTAGGCCTGCAGAAAGAAATATTTTTTTGGTTCTGCACAGTTAGAGCTTTCTGGGCATTTTTACTAGACTGTGGAACCTGAGCTTAAAGTCAAGCCTTAGAAGCTAAATTATGACTGGATAGATGGAACTGCAGAGATTTACCTCCCATGAGGTGTGTGGTTTCATTTTCAAGGAGTGGGATGGGGGAAGGGGATGAGACCCAGCTTCATGGAGACATTCCCAGGCTTGTTAAGCTGGAGACACTGGTCTTATCTCCCCCTAAGATATATATTACTTTCTGAAGGGTAAGAACCCAGGATCCTTCCCTAGTTGAATTTGTTTACATGAAGGCGATAAGATTTTTCTCCCTCTCCCAGAAGGGAGGTGGGGACAGCACTACTGTCCCTGTCTTTAATCTAATCATCCAGATTGGTATTTTTTAGATTCCTCACCTGTAGACCAAGAATAGGACGACAACTGGCTTTCATTCTGTCACTCTGGAAAGACGAAAGTAGGGCATGGGGACCCAGTGCAGTAATTTTCCATAAGTAGTCACCCATTCTCCAGAAACCTCATATTTGCATTCAGGAAAATAGAAATAAATGTAGATACTAAAAACTTGCAAGAGTCAGCTCAGACATGTGTTAACATGCAGATTCCAGGCGAACTCCTCCCTTCCTCTCTCCCAGATTCTAATTCAATAAGTCCAGGTGCCCAAGAATCTGTATATGAGCAGCTGCCCCGGGTGACTCTTACCAGACTTGTTTGGGAAACACCGCGCTGGTCCACGACCCAGGAATAGAAAGTGCTTCTTACAGAAGACCAGTCTGCCTCTGCTAGTGTGGTCTCTTAAGTCCAGTTATTGTTCCCCCTCTACCCCATCTTTTAATGGCAAGTAAGTAGACTTCGGGATACAGAATTTTTTTAGTTTAGACTTTAGGATGAGATTGAAGGTTGACACATCTCTCGTTGGGCTTTCTCTGTTATCCTTACAGTCCCCTTTATTGTTTTTTTTTAAAAAAAGAATTCACCATCATAATCATCAGATATCCTGGAATCTTTAAATGACCAGTCATCATACTCACGCAACCTGTGATCTCAGTATTCTGCCAAAACTTCACTGGCATCTCCATTTTCTTTTGTCACTATTTTTATAATCCCTTTACATTTGTAAATTGCTTTGCAGTTAACAAGATGCTTTCACATTTATTGTCCCATTGGAGTCTCACAGTAACTTTGGAGAGAACAGAAACAGTTAGGAGTTACACTGTTTATGTAAATTTGAAATATATTTTAAAATATTTGAGGTATATAATATTTAAGAATATTTGGAGTGCGACGTGAGAAGACTGAAGTCCAGTATGCGTGTGGGTCATGAGTTGTCTAGCTGTGGTGTGGAGGCACTTTTAATTGAAAGGCAATCTCTTTGTTGTCATGACATCAACAGCCAACAAATAATAGGCATTGTGTCAAATCTCCTTTGGACATATTGAGGGTTGACCTCTTCCCAGATGCACAGAAACCACTGCCCGTTCCTGCCTCAGCTCTTGATAATTCTTTTTCTCTAACCAAAAGATAAATATAAATACGCAAGTACACACACTGATAAAAACATCTGTTTTCAAACTGTGTTTCTCAAATGCCTTTGAATCCTTTAACTGTTAAACAATAACCATAGGCCTTTATACTTTCACAGTTTCCCAAGCACTTTCACGCATACTATCTCATTTAATTCTTAACAACCACATATGAGCTACATAAAATATCCACCTTTTACAGAGGAGAAATAGAGGCTGAGAGAAGGCTCAAGGCCCATGTATTCAAGAGGTGGCAGATCCGGGACCTCCAAGTAGAATGTTAAGACCTACAGTCCGGTCTCCTCCGAGGGGGTGTGAGGGTGATCGGCTGCAACATCTGTCACTCCGTTGATCACCTGGGTCGATTCAGCTGATGTGGCTGGCTAACACTCCGATTATGATGAAAAACCAATAAGGTGTGTTTTCTGCTTAAAGTGTCATAAGCCCTGAAATTTCCAAATTATTTAAATACATAATTTTCTAAAGTCCTAGACTTTAGAAGTTCAGAGTTCAGAGTTCAGAGAAGGCCAGCAAAGAATGCTGGCTAACAGCTAATGTCACGGGCAGTGAGGTGCTGCTAGGTCACCCAAATAAGGGGACTGGTGTGGTGTGGTGTGGTGGTTAACCCTAATAGCAGTTCCAGAAAGATGGTGCCCCTCTGACTTTAATTCATCCACATCCACTTAATAGACCCATTTCATAAGAATTCACTATGGCAATAGCGATATGAAGATGTTGACCACTGTTCTAGAATCCATTGCAATGCAAAGAAGATAGCTACTAAGATTAATGTCCTAGTCAAAAATGCAAAATTTTTCCTCTATCGTGTAGAACCATTTGTCAAACTGTTACTTTGAACTTTATTCAGAGTCCCTTCAGAATTCAGTTCAACAGGTGTCACACCTGCCCTTCCTTTGTCTGACATGTGCATTTTTTCCATAAAACAGGATCTTCAGAGGCAGGCTGGAACACTGGAAACCCAAGCCGTCTCCCGTGCCTCACGCCTCCACCCGCTCGCCGTGCATGCCTTTCTCGTGGTTTAATGAGAGCCGAAAAGGATCCTATTCCTTCAGGGACCTGCCTTCACCTACAAGTCCCCTTCAGCCTTCTCCTGAAACTCTAATTTCAGATAAAAAGGGGTCCAAGGTAGAAAACACATGGATTTAAAAAGCAAACAAGAAAGCCCCAAATCCTTCCTCCTCTCCAGTCTTTTTTGGAAAGGATTCTCAACTTGTGTGTTTACTCTGGACCCAAGAAACCAATGTGATAACACTGCAATAAGCCATGTGTGGGGAAAAGGAAAGCCTCATTTAACCGTCCCCTTCTTTAATGCTATTCCATTCTAGATTGTACGTTGATCTTTGATTTGCCTGTCTTTTCACATATTGCTATTTAATCTCAGTTTGACAGTTAAGCCATGCTGGGAAAGATGCATTTGAATCATGGAACAGTATGATAGATCTGTTTACCAAGTATTCCACTTTAAATTACATTACAAGACTATTTTTATTGTGCTCTTCGAGATTTACTGGAAAACAAATAAATTTGGGACTGAATATGTGTTCAATATATCTAAGTGAAACTCTTTAAAACAAACCAATGCTGACATAGCACGCTTACTTATTTTTTCTTTTAAATCAAACTTCATGTTGAAAAACTTAATAATCTCATCACCAAAGTTCTCTAACTTTAGCAGAATTAGAAAATATAATTGCATGGGTGTTGTTTGTTCTTAGATGCATGATGGTTATTTCCAGCATGACGCTGCAAACCTTACCTAACATTTTATTGAAACACATACAGTGGCTAACGTTCACATGTTGTTTGGTCTCCTTTTATCTGTGTTCGCTTTTCTTTCTCAAACAGAAACGTGTGATTAATGTGACTTGAATTTAACTCTTTTCTTGAGGTCAGCGGCTCACAGGGTCTTGACAGGGCTTGGGGCTGTGTGTCTGTTGACCATATCAAATAGTAATGTGTTGTGTTAAATGCTCCCCCGCTTACATGTTCTCCTAGCCTAGCTCCGCGTGCTCGGATTTAGTCTCCGTGTCTGAAGTTTTAGCAAACCCTGGGGTTTGTTTGGAACTGAATTCTGCAGCCTCTGGCATGGTAGTTATTTTTGACAACCGACTGAACCCAGTGGCAAGGGAGCCTAATGGAAAAGTAACAGGCCAGTTCCTAAGGAAGTGGAATATGGAACAAGATGGTGTTGGCCACGGGCTTAGAGTTCCTCAGAAGCCAGTCATTCTAGAATTACTAGCAAAAGAAGCTTTGGCAGCAGTAGACCACTTGGATCTTGAAACATTTTCAGTATTGGATCTGAGAAATCTAAAGGTAGTTTGAATAATTCTACCATTATCTTGCACTGGAGAGACTCCAGATTTGGTTTAAAATATTTTCACAAATGCAGCCATGTGGTCATTCTGAGTTTACTTGACTTTAATAGCCACTGAACATTTTGATGAAGTTCTGGGGAAGTTTTTTGGTTGTTTTTTTTTTCTTTTTACACCCCGCCTCCCAACTCCCCCAGCCCCAGGCGATTAATTGGAGAGTGTATCTGTCTGCAGCCTCTTTGGTGCCCTGCGGGCTGCGTAAGAGTTGTATTTTAGCATGTAACTACTAGTGTATTGTCAGACTGTGACCTCCCCCAGAACTCATCATCTTGAAGGTTATATCCAGAGGAGGATCTGCCATTTCTCACAGTATTTATCACGGCCAACAGCAAGTGCTCCTTCCCAGGGGTTGCTCAAGCTACCTTTCTAATATGGATGGCCATCTGTTCCTAATAACTCAGGCTCTCCACACCATCTTGTATTTTTACTTGCACTGTTACTCATCATGAGTAGGGTCAAAGAAGATAGGCTTATTAATATTACTCCTCTGAGCAGTTGCAGAGGATAATGAAGCCTGTATCCTTGAAGAGGGATTGAAGAATGATTTCTCCAAAACACCTATCCTTCCATCTGATGGAGAAAGCACCCAGAATTCCCTATCAGTTACAAAAGGCCCAGCACTTTCCACCACCGCCGCTTGAAGGTCATCACCAAACTAAATCTGAATTTCTCCGAAGATGGCTTTAAAGAGAACCTTTTTAGGACTTGCAAATACACCTACCTCTGGTTCCCTCACTGTGCTCATTTAACACTGAGCTTCATTTATTTTTACAGAATTTTACCTTCAACGATGACTTCAGTCCCAGTAGTACCAGTTCAGCAGACCTTAGTGGCCTGGGAGCAGAACCCAAAACACCGGGGCTCTCTCAGTCCTTAGCACTGTCGTCAGATGAGGTACGCTCGTGGCGCTCACACAGACCGGCTTTCTCAGGTCATGCACTGTACCCGTCACCTATCCCCAGGAAAACATTCTTAAGTAGATTTTGCATGTAAATCATCGGGACCATGGTTTCTTGTTTGATGTGAAATCTTGATTTCTCTCTCTTTTCTCTCTCTATCTCAACATGAAGGCAAAGTATTGTTTCTGAGCCCCTTGGAAGCTCTCCAGGGACCTCCCCCACCTTACTCTGACTTCATTGAGAGGACTCTGAGCAGGGGGCTGGGGGTAGGAGCCTGGGCACCAGAGAGCAAGAATAGGGAGCAGCTCAGAAATCACAGGGGAGTTTACCGACTGTCCATCCCCTCTCTCCCTCGCCTCCCCCACCATCACCCTTACCCCCGCCCCGCCACCCTTACCTCCCCCAGCACCCCTACCCCAACTCGAGCGTGGCCCCTGATTGAGAACCACTGCAGTGGAGAGGGGAGAAAAACTGGGTGAGGATCACTTATTTAGAAGCCAGGGTCAAATTAGCATTGCCAAGAACTCCCAGAAGATCAGTGTGTTTCCAGAGAAACAGGAAATTGCATGAGTGATGGACTTAGTGCCCCAAGAGATATGGAGAGGACAGAAATGCCACTATTTAGGGCAGGGGGCCGGAGAAGGAGAAGCACTGTACATAAAGATACTGTTGCTCCACGTATTTGCTCTAAGTTATTTCTTTCCAACATGATTTTTGTTTTATGAAACTTTTTGTCTCTTAAATTTTTCTGCCCATACTCTTCAGGCCCGGTGTGATTGTAATTTTACATCTTTGTACTATGTATGTCGTGTCTCCTATTTCTATAACACTTCTCTTTTTGATTCCTTCGTTGCTCCCTCACTCAGAGCCTGGATATGATAGATGACGAGGTGAGCTGTCAGTGGGCTGGGTGCGGTGGTTTCGGTGGTACTGGGGAACCTCCCCTTCTGTCTCTGCGAAATGATTTAAAACTCACACAGGACAAGAATACTTGTGTCTGTGGTGGAGGGTTTCCTGGTGTGAAATCATTTTGCTCTCTGCCCTTGTCTGTCCCAAAGTCGAAGAGATGTTTCTGAGGCAAGATGATCACCAGGTTCTACCTGCAGAGTCCCTCGATTGATCCCCCATCACCACTACCTTGACAGGGTCCATTCTGTTCCACCTTCTCTGCCTTCATCTCGGCTTACCCCATCCTGCCCCACCCCGTCAGCGCTCCCCGAGGTGACTCCTGTCTGTCCTCTCAGGCCTGTCATCGCCTCCATCGCCTCTCAGCTTAGAGGTTCTAGGAACCGAGCTGCCCTCTGCGCTGGTCAAAGTGGTGTTCTGCACTGGGCAGAGCCTGAGATTCGGGATAAACCACAAACTGTTGAGCTCTCCCGGTCACTCGCTGCGTGCTCCAGACAGACACGTAGACTGGCTGAGCCTCACTTTACTCATTTATTAAAAGTCATTATGGACATTACCTGCCCCGCCTTCCTCACGGGTCTGCTTGGCCGTGCAAATGAAACCCTGGCTGCAAGGTTTCCCCTCACAATGCTTGAGGACTTAAGGCTTTCCTCTTCGAAGGGAAAGATCCCTCAATATTTCTAAATGTATTTTTATATACCTCTAATGTCTTATCAGAGGCTACACGCAGAGCGATGCCTTGCATATAGAGATCAATCAAATACTTGTTTTCTGCATCTCATACTCTTTCCACAGTGTTCTAATGTAAAGGCTTGCAACATCGGAGTGTATTTTTCAGGAGGAAACACCCTACATTAATAATGCTGCTTCATCTGGGGGAGTTTTTAAATTTCCAAATACCTAACAAAAATGTCGGCGATAACTACGTGTGTGTGTTACACACACAGCTAGAACCATTAGCTTATTCATTTTATGGTTTAAAGATAAATGTGGCTCTAGTAGGCAAGAAATTCCTTTTGACAGCATAATAAGCCGTGCTGAGCCATAGCATTTTGGTCCTTTAACAACACTGCGTAACATTCCTACCTCAGATCCTTGATGATGGACAGTCTCCCAAACACAGTCAGTGTCAGAATCGGGCCGTTCATGAATGGAGCGTGCAGCAGGTTTCTCACTGGCTAATGAGCCTAAATCTGGAGCAGTATGTATCTGAATTCAGTGCCCAAAACATCACTGGCGAGCAACTCCTGCAGTTGGATGGAAATAAACTTAAGGTAAAGAATTCTATCTCTGTGTGAGGTTACCAGGTGTAAGTTGTGTTGCTCATGGCACCTAAAATGTTTTCCTTAGACAAGAGCGTTCTGCATCTCTGAGAGGGAATTCTCACCAACGGTCCGCAGAAGGGTCGTTGCATCATTTCTGAGTAGTAAACGAAGTTTCGGAAAGTTGTCAGGGATTCTGAATCAAACAAGAGGCTGCTGAGTAGGAGAGCTAGGGACTCACTCCATTGCTTCCACTGGGCAACACGTGGTCCATATATGAAGTCTGCTGACTTCCTGTGTCGTAGGAGTTGTAATAATGGCCAAGGTGGACTTTTTGATCACATGAGAGTGAAACCTAGATCCACGAATCTTTCCTTCTTTATTCATTTCCTCTCCACCCCCGCTCCTCCCTGCACACCTCTCCAAAACTGGGACGATGTTCTCTTCAGAACTTTCTTCCCCAAGTATGTGCAGGCCGTGTGTCCCCCCGCTCCATCCCACTCTCATTTCGCCTGTCCAGTCCATCCCTTTTAGAGACTGGGGGGCGGGAATCCATCCCTGTAGAAAAAAGGGCAAAAAGAGCTTACATTTGGCTCCCCACCCCCAACTTCAGTCCCCTGCTGGGCTGAAGGGCAGATGAGTATCCTTGACAGTCTTGAAAAGGTTAGAGATCAATCAATAGTCTGTCAATTATGAAGGCCCCATTGACAAGGCTGTCCCTGTTGGGGAGATGGATGCATCCCGCTGTTGATTCTGAAGGTCATGAAACATTTAAAGTACACAACCAACTCCCCTTATTCTGAATTCCATGCTCACTAAGCAACCTCCTCATTAACAGGATTCCTTTATAGGTTTGCCTACAGGTTAGGGAATGGCTAGTCATGCTGACATGAGCATTCCGGCCCCAAAGACATTTTTGGTCCTCATTGTAAATGACTGCATTGGCAAAAAGGAAGCCACTTCAGTTCTCTTTGCCCTCTTGGAGCCCTCTATGGCAGCAGGTGCCCACTCCTAGCTTTTAAAAATATTGATGAGTTTAGCAGTACTTTTGCCTGTAAATGTCTATGGCCCAAAGGTTGGAGAAGCAGAATTGTGCCCCCCCATTTTTCTTAATTCCTTCACCCATTAATTGCCAATTTGGAAAGCATGTATTTAATGGGGTTTAGGGTGTACTGTGTAGGCACTTCAGAGGGCAAATAAAGCTCCGCCCCTGAGTATGGAGATTTTTGGCAAACGTAAGCAGCTCTTTCTCGGTTTTGACCTCTTTGATTATGTTTAAATCAGTTCTTGAGTCTGAACACATTGTGATAGCAACCTCTTCCTAAGGAGAGAGATCACTGGGTTTCAGGTTCAGTTTGTCTATGTATTTCCTTCCTAGGCTCTGGGAATGACGTCATCCCAGGACCGAGCAGTGGTCAAAAAAAAACTCAAGGAAATGAAGGTATCTCTAGAGAAGGCTCGGAAGGCTCAAGAGAAGATGGAAAAACAGAGAGAAAAGCTGAGGAGGAAGGAACAAGAGCAGATGCAGAGGAAGTCTAAAAAGACAGAAAAGATGACCGCTGCATCGGAGGGCGCTGGTGAACAGTAACACACACCCCCTCGCACACGGCTCTCCCCCCTTCCCACCCTGCTCTCCTCCCCGCGGACGAAGGAACTGATGGAAGGGGTAACGTGCTCTAGGCCGACTGGGGAACTGCTTGTGGCAAAACTGCATTTTCTGCAATAATGGAATGCACTTTTAATTTTCACCTCCTGAAATAATCCCAAGCCACCTTTGTTTATTACCAAACCAAGGATCTCGTTTGTGAAAGCTGCAGAATAGCTGTGTTTCTCTCTTCTCATACTTACCAGCCCCTTGTGGGGGAACCAGGGTCACCCTGCCCGAGAAAAGCATGCCTTGCCCCGGTGGTGGTAGTGGGGCGCCACGGCTTTTCAGTCCGGGAACCCTGAAGCTGGGCAATGGCACGTATCTGCATGGCCGAGAGCGCCGCTCTGCCGTGAGATCGGGGCTCCAGAGTACTCCTGTGTGTGGGAGAGCTTCTCCCCTCGCGTTTGTGTCTGGACAGTGAGACAACCCCACTGTAGGAACACGGGTGCCCCGCCACATAATTATGTACGGCAGCAAAAGGCAAGCGAACTCTTCTGCTCGCTGGGCATCTGAAAGAGAGAAAAGAATTTGTTATTTGTTAACCCCAGAAGGAAGCAGAAGCCTGCAGAATGTGGATGTGGGTATTACCTTGGGGTTCTGAGGGTAACATTTATCCTCCAGATTGAGCTGAACACAGGAAAAAAATCAGACGGTAATGCAGCCCGGGATATGGCGATCCGTTGTTTACTCTGCTCCCGCTGCATGTTCAGTAGTTCACCGACACACAGAACGTAGTTCCTTTTTTCCCCAACAAATTGAACAGGAAATTGATTTTTAAGGAAACCAACATTTTCAGGTTTCCTCTCCTGGGGAAAATTCTGGCTAGTCTTCAGCCTGACTGTGACACAATCAGGAACTTGTCACATATTTTCTACTTAAGATCTCCCAAGTGGGCTCAGTTAGTGTTTTAACAAATGTACTTTTAAGAAAAATAGGAATACTGGTTAGAGAAAATTTAGATTTGAGTAACACGCAACCAGAGAAGCAATTTTATTGAGCACACGGAATGTTCCCGTAAAGGAGAGCTGACAGTTGGATTTTAGAGATGTTTTGAATGGTTTTTCTGAGCCATTCTCTTTCATTCTTCAGAGATTTCCATGTTACACCTAAAGCTTGTTTAAGAGAGTCCACAGGATATAGTCTACTAGCAGAGACAGTTAAGCTTATTTGAAAGCCAGTATATGAAGGATTTCAGTATTTCATCAAACCAATTCAAGCATGGGAGACTAGGGCAGAAGGAGGAGAAAATAAACCCATCTTGAGAAACTTCAAATGCTCGGTTGTTTGTTGTTGTTGTTTTGTTTTTTATGCTCGTGTCTCTGGTTGTCTTTGATGCATTGGCTATAAAAATGAGGTCATCCACTTTCCAAGGGACGAGTTTCAAAATAAGAGTTGAGGCCAGATGAATCTTCAACTAGTGTTTTACTTCCTTTTACTACATGGTAGGGGGGTCTCGGTCCATATTGTACACTGGAAAGGTTTATACACAGAGCTGGGGGAAGGCTTTTGAAGGTTACAGTTAACAGATAATGGAAAGGGGCTCCTGCCCATCTAGCACCATCTTGTATTTTGGACATTGTGACTTATTTTTAATTTATTTAATTTATTTTATTTTTTTTGCTTGCCTGAATATCTGAAATCTGGAATTGGCTGAACTAGAAACTTATAATCCTGTCTTTCCCTAAAGCCTGTTTCCTTTTTAGTGACAGAGTATTGTCTGTTATACTTTGATCCTTTTGTCCCTAGTACAGATCATTCATTCATTCAGTGCTCAGAAACACTGACATAAAGTAACATTGTGTTTTACAGTTATGAGAGTCACTATGTATGTTTTTCTGACTATCTTCATTTGGTGTATGATAATGAGATTGCCATACTGGATATTCTATTAATACTTGAGATGTGTGGTGCTTCACTATTTATTAATATGACGAGAAACAAGGAACCACTATTCATGAACTACAAAATTCAGTAGATCTTTCCTAATACCAAAAGACTAAATTAGTCAAAATCTGGTAATACTATTGCTTGCTATTGTAAACTTTTTGCCCTTTTTGCTTATCTTTGGGGGGGAAAAAAAGTGATCTGGATCACACTGGAAGTTTTGCTCTGTATTCATTTTAAGAGTGGAAATAGAGGATGACTATCTGAAGTTATGTTTACACTTTGGTAATATTTGAAAATGGACGTATATACTGGAAATGTCTGTAAGTCTCAGTCTCTGCACATAATTTATGATCTCTATTATATTGCATTTCCTTAAATGTCTTAGAAGTATTGTTCTTGAACTTTATTTGTACACTTCCAGTGAGTAGACCAATGACCAGCTGAAAATGTTATAAATCAAATTCTTATTCCTCAAATCACTTAGTTTGTATTATAACTATTTTTATTTTTAAGTTAAGTTACAGTGATTTTAGGTCTTACTGAGTTATTTTAATATTACTACTTAAAACTGCTGAAATCGTAAAAGGCACTTGATTTGACTGTCCAGCCAAGGATAAAATGTAAACTGATTGATCAAAGAGTATGAAAACAAAGTGCAGGACCTCAGAACTTATGAACATTTTGTTTCCGTATTATTTCTTTTCTTGACTCTAGTGCATGATGCCTAATCGAGGTTCCAGTGTCTTCAACAACTCCTACTTTAATGCTAGTGGTTTTCGGTGTCCATACAGTTTAACGTAGACTTGTTGTTTCATGAACCTTAAAGACTTTGCAGTTTTTTATTTATCAGAAAATGAACAGAAAGGGAATATCTGGTTACTTTGAACTATATTCCCTAAATGACAGCTCAGTATGACTCTAATAATAGCCAAATTGTTTTGGGGTATAGGTAATGCTTTGGGGGTGAGGCCAAGCTGTAGACGGGGAACATTGTATGAGCTAAATGTCTGGGACAGAGTCTTCCATTAAAGGACTTCAGTTTTTATAACAGATTACTTGATTTAAGACCATCTCCCTTAAAGTAACTCACAGTTTATGCAATAGTTTTCTCATTCTTTTTTTTTTTTTTTTTGCCTGATTCCAAAGTGTACTTCAGAGTGATACATTAGGGCAGAAACCTAATATTGCCCATTTGGACACATTGATGAAGTCCACCATTAATTTCATGACAATAAAGCTATCATTCTATGTTATCCTCCTTTAGCTGGGGTTGACGTGGATTTCCGGCCCTCAACATCACTGAAGTGTTCTTACCCCCCAGTGGTTTGTGACTGCAGTATTGTAGTGCTCATTCCAGACTTAGCTTTGAAGGGGCATGAAATGGGACCACCTGTTCTGGGCTTCTTTGTTGTTGTTGCAAACAAAGTGGCAAGAGGACAAGGGAGGAACCAAATTAACCTTTGCTGCTGCCTTTCATCCTGTGTCATCCCTGGCCCCAAATTGTAAGAGGTCCCTGAAGATTCTAAAGGGAGATGTCCCAACAATTCTGAAAGAAATGTTTATACTTTGGAGATGTTGTAGCTCCTCATTACATTGACATATTTAAGAATTCCCAGATTCCATTTGAGCAGCTAAATGTTCTGTCCCAGTAGGGCCCTGATGAGAGGCCTTTCACTCTGGTGGACAGTGGTCACTACAGTTCATGTCACCTACTTAATGCTAAGTCCTCAGTGCTTTCTGAAGGAAAGGTAAAATGGAAAAGAAAAGCCCAGGGTTTTTGCAAAATATCTTTTCAAATTTACCTTTAATCAAGGATCTACCCGTCTACTATTCTGAAGCTAAACATTGAAGGATGAAGTCCAGAAATAAAATGTACATATTTTCCACGGAGTTGTTTTCCTTCTAAAAATGGGGGTGGGGAGTCAATGCTCAAAAGAAAGCCGCGGTATAAGAAATATGAATGTGTGTCAGTGACTCATTCCTGAAAAACAGCCTGGGTATGTAGGCAGATTTTTGTTTTTATATTTGTCTTAGGTAGTTAAAGTCTCAGGAAATTTAGTCTTGGTCCAACACACTGGGGGAAGAAATCATACTAGCCAGGACACCAGTAGATTTTGAGTAACTTTGAACCCCTACCGCACCATCGGCAGTATAGAAGTGATCCCACCAGCAAGTCAGAGGGCAAAGAAGCTCACAGAATCCATTTTCCCCTGGAGAATAAAAGCCTCAAGTTCTGCCTTAGGGTAAACAGAGGGTCTTTCAGTGCTCTGTGGATGTGTCGAGTGAATGGTTGTGACTTCCAAGCTTACATACGTGCGTGGTGTGGATCAAGCACAGCATGTGACCTGCTTCCAGATCTACAGTGTGGGGAAGGACAGAAACGGGATGATTTCCAATCCTTGGCCCTACCCCAACCCCAAAACTGCTAGAGATTCAAGAATGAATAGGAGGTTAACGCATAAGAGAACCAGAGGCAACTTCTCAATAATGTGCATGCCACGTGTGTAGATGTACAGAACTCCCTGTGTGTGAATATATTCCTACCTTACACATACACACACACACACACACACCCCGCAATCACATTGCATAAAAATATATATATATTGTATATGGAACTTGGTAATGTCAGTTAGGACCCTAAGCAGTAATCATAACCTTATTGCCACTTTTTGTGTGTGTATACATTGAATGGCTCATAAGATTTTGAGAGATTTTTTTAAAGTAAGTATTTCTACTAAATGCACTTATCCTTCTACATGTTTATATATTTTGGTAAAATTGATTTATTAGATACTTGGTATTTTAGTAAGATAAAGTTTCCTCAGATGTTTGGTTCATGCTTTGATGTCAAGATTGCACATTGCTGAGTCGAACCTCAGAAATGTATGCAGCTTTGGGCATTTTCAACTGCGGACCGCAGTTTCCTCGGCTAAAAATTGCACCGCGTGTTCTTGTGCATTCGCTCATGCTCCGCAGTGACATACTTAGTGGCTGTGATGCTTAAGTCACCAACTACTGGCTCTCTGATGGCACTGTTGTCATCACATGATCATTTATTAACTTCTTTTGTGGAGTGACGGCATGGTTAGGTCATTGCCAAATACAATGCAAGTGGATGTGAGCGTGTGAGTATGTTGTTGGAAGGTGTACCCGTCTCTTTCTTTCAGCGGTTTTATTCACACACCCAGGTTTTCTTTGAAGGATTTAATCTTTCATCCGTGAAAGAACAATTGGCCACAAATAGTTACATTACCTTGGAAAGCGGGAATTAATAGGCACTCCAGCTAGATAACACCTCCCAACGACATCAGATGTAGTTAGTGTTTTGTAAATCTCCTTAAATATTTATATATATATATATATATACATATATATACATATATGTTTTCCTTAATATTATTTATGGTCACCACTACTGCTTTTGTATTTTTTAATGGTGTTGCAATTAAACCACGAGTATGCCTGCTACTCGTCAGTAACAAAACCAGTCCGCTGAAAAAAGAAACGAGAGAGAATGAATTCTGTTCCATTGTAAGAAGTTGATTTATTTTAACCTTTCTTTATGTATCGCTGCAGGAAAAGAGTTGTTTGAAAAACCATTTTAAGTCCAATAAGTATGGATAGCATGTTATCTGAAACTTTTAATTTGTACATTTTGGCGTCTGATCATTTGCATGGAAGAGACAATAGTACCATGTCTGACTCGTTCTCTTGTGCTTGGTTAATATGTACTTCTCTAGATTGTTCCGTTTCAAGCAACATTTCTTACTCTTTGGTTTTCAGAGGCATTCAGAGCAAACTATCACAATGGTCCTCTGTTTTCTGACCAATCTAAAAATACCTGTGATTAAATTTAATTTGTCAGTGTAAATAAATTTCTTGCCAATGAGTATTATTGTTGTTAGACAACGAATGCAATAAAAAGAGAAATATGGACATCTGTCGGAGTAGGCTGTTTTTTTTTTCCCCCCCTCTTCCATTTTCACCCTCAACTAAAACAAGCCTTGACTGGGCAAACCTGTATTAACTGTCAAAATACATCTATCTATCAAGAGCAAAGTGCACGTTTTCCATGGAAATGAAAGGAAAAATAAGTTTTAGCCCCGGAACAGTGTAAATTGGCAGCTAGCATTACATATGAAAGCACGATTATGGAACTGGGCATGAGGTGGGAGATGCTCCGCCAGAAGCTCCCTCACCCGCCTTGCGGTTCCCGCAGCGCGTTTCCGATACCTGTCAGGCCAGCAAGGGTCTGTGACAAAATGCATTCAACAGCTGGCCTCACACAGCACGGGGCAAGCCCAGGGCAGGCCGGCCCCCAGGACGGGGTTCTTCGGGGTTCTTCGCAGCAGTTTTATTTCTACAACCTTAAATGTTCGGAAGACTTGAATATAGCAAATGAGGAATATTAATTTCTCCCCCCACCCCCATCCTCTCTCTCTCTCTCACCCACACACAAACACACACACACGAACCATAATTGATCTGTGACTAAACCTTCAGCAAAAAATAAATGAAATAAGCTGTTTTTTCTCTTCCTCGGAGTGTGTTACGAAACCCTCACTGAGGGGAAGCATGTGTCCCTTTCGACTGATCGCGAGCAAATGGGATAGCTTGCTTTCTTTTTCTGGTGGGTGGGTTGGGGGCAGAATTTGCTTATTCTGTCAAGAATAAGAGAGAACAGAATATAGTTATTTCATTGATGATATCAAGCAACTCTTTTTAAAGGAAATATGGGGGCTTTTTCGACATAAGCCCAATAGTCATCGGTAGTTTCGAAACAGTATTTCAGAAAATCCAGCTTCAAGGGGCTGTGAACAGCATCACCGAGTAATTGAGCACTCATAGGGCACATGATATTATGCTCATTGAAGTTGTGACTAAAATAACTCTAATCTGATATGAGGAAAGTGTTTTTCGATCCAAACAAAATGTTCCCCTTTATTACTTTAAGTTAGTAGCCTTAAAATGTTGACAGTTCTCAGTTTATCAGCAAACCGTTTTTCCCAGCATGCCAGACCGTCCTCATGGCAAGCGCCTTGGAAGAACTTTGTTTCTAACGTGACTGCCTCTAGCATCCCAAAGACATCATCCGGCCCGGAAGCCATACTTTCAAAAGAGACAAAGACGGGTAACCTTTTCAGACCAGTTTTTATAAGAAAATGACAAAAGTCATCTTTTCTTCCTAATCACGTCCATCAGAAGATACGCCAAGACTGTTGATTTTTTTTAATTTTTTTGTTTGCCTTTCTACTGTTTTCTTCTAATCCTCCCCTGCAAGTTACAACAGAAAAAAAAAAAAAAAAAAGGCGGGGGAGGGCACCTGGGTGGCTCAGTCAGTTAAGCGCCCGTGACTCTTGATCTCAGCTCAGGTCTGTCTCAGGGTCATGAGTTCAAGCCCCATGTTGGGCTCCACCCTGGGCATGGAGCCTGCTTAAAAATAACAACAAAAAAACCAGTGCCCCCCCCACCCCCGCACTTGTAGGAATACTGTCTTTGGGGCCATTTAGCTTTACCTGAGTCGATTATGGGCTTCAGTCTGTCTTCAATCACTGAAGCGAACAAACTTCTTTTCACTGGGTCAAAGCAACTAAAATGTAGAGTTTATGCTGAGATAGCAGACACTCCCAAGAATGTTAAAAGAGTTTGCTACATGTCATCGCTACCGGAGAATTGAGTGAGAGTAAAAGGAGAAATGGGGGTCATTTCGGTTTCTATTTACTGAGAAAGTCCTCCATCGAAGGGGAAATGGGAGTCAGATTGTGCCAGTATGTCCGATGGCTTTGCTAAGGAGGGATGCCTGGAGCCCAGGGAACTTTGTAGGTCACATCTAGTTTCCCAGCAGGCGAACCAGAGCCCCTGAGTGAGGACTGCAGGCTGGGACGACTCGTGAGATCATCCCGCTCCTCTGTTTCCCAAACAAGATTCAGCAAGGCAGCAATAAGCTCACGTGCTCCCAGGCAACACACGTCTTAGGGAAAGGACATTTGGATCACACACAGTTAAATGATTTAAGGCCTGACAACCGACACCGCAATTTTAGCCATTTTATTGATAGGATTTTTATTGGTAATTAGACTGATTTGCTACCGTGCTTTCAAAAAAGCCTTATGCATTGATTCTGTTCCCGGTTAAACAGCACTTTCATCCTTTCAGATGTCCAAATGGAGGGTCAGTATTCACTGCTCAGATGAGATCTCTGTGGTCCCCGGAGATGTGGCAAGCAGTTGAAATGGTGGGCTCACGGCGTCCGTGGCTCGGGGGCAGATCGACCTTCTAGAGCTCACAGTAAAGAGCTTTGTGGAACACGGTGCCGACCGGCAGCTTCCCTTTGTACACAGACGCAACCGTACTTCCTTGCAACACTGTACCATTTTCTGCATAAACCAGTGTAACTTTGGGTTCTTCTGTTAAAATGTCCTGGATTTGGATCACCTATCAAAGAAATAACATGAGCCTACTCTTTCTTTTAAAGTCACTCCAAAACATAACGTTAAAGACGGGTCACTTGTCCATGTGAAGAAGCCTGTAGGTAAATCATATTTTGTTCCAAAATTACTCTTTATGGAAGACACTGGTTTCCTTATGGCAAAATGACAGGTTTTAAGCAGGTGCTCTTGAAAAGAGATAGAGACAAATAGGCCTACCCAGCCTACGGAAGAAATAGGGGTGAGTAACACAGCCTGGGTGGGTGACCCAGGAGTAGTAGGGACTATGGGAAAGGGGGAAGGAGGGGAGAGATGTTACTCAGTAATAATAGTTAAATTATTGCCATGCTAGAATTCAGGCCAGTTTTGCACATTTACAGATAAGCTAGGAATTTGGGTGGTTACACTTAATTCTTGGTTTTTAAATTCTGGCAATTAAAAAAAACAACAACATATCTCTGTACAACACTCAGCTGCTCCTCTGAACTTAAGGTTCCAACTCTAAACATACAGGATTTTGTAAGTTCAGTTTCCGTCATTTAGTTGAGCAGAAATATGATCGTGTCATTAACAACAGAGAAGTGGCGTGCCAAGCCGATCACATGCAGTAGCTGATATTTGGCCATTTTGGCCAATAAAATGGCAATTTCATATACTCCACACCACAGTAAAGAGCACACTGTAAGGCAGGGGCCCAGGGTCCTGTTTTGGATCTTCAGCTTCACATTTGTTTCTCATTTGTAGAACAAAGTGCGTGGCACTAGGTTAAGTTTCTTTTCAACTCTAACTTCCTATCATTTTTAAGTCTCTAGGATAAAATACAATGTCTGGGAAGAAAGGATACTTACATATAAAAACACCAAATACGGCAGACTAGTGGGGGCCAATGCCTATACATAAAGGGTTAATGGGAGCATTTAAAAGGACCTTTTTAAAACAGCCAGCCCCAGGGGCGCCTGAGTGGCTCAGTCCCTTAAGCTTCAGACTCTTAGTTTTCGGCTCAAGTCCTGATCTCATGGAGCCCAGCGTGGGGGCAATGCACTCAGTGGGGAGTCTGCTGGAAGATTCTCTCCCTCTGCCCCTCCCCCCACTAGTGCGTGCACTCTCTCTCTCTCTCTCTAAAATAAATAAATATATCTTTAAAAAAACCAAAACAGCCAACCCAAAAGACAGACATAGTAGTTACTTACTGGCAAATAGGTGATGGTGCACCTTGACTTAAGTAAGCCTCTTTCTAATAAAAGTCAGTCACTCTTCTGTGGGGCAGTGTATTAGATAATGGATTGTTATTACTTTTTACTATTCCTTACCAGATCCATCATTAGGAAGGAAGCACTTTTTCCAGAACAGCAAACCAAGTCCATGCTACTGCAAATGACCTAAGTTCACCAGATGAGCTAACAAGCAAGAGCAAATTAGAATCTAACATTCTGCTCTGTTCTGAACAGTGAACACGCCACAGCATACATTTCTCCAATTCCTGTTAAACATACCATACCATCTTAATAGCTAAGAACCAGGAAAAGGCACAAAGGATTGCCATTAAACATAATACGATTGTCCTGTAAGCCTAGAGAGAAAGGGTATGAAGGGCCATAAAGTAATTGGAAATACACATTTGGTTTGGGGTTTATTTAATCTAAGACACATGGGCTTTTATTTATTTATTTATTTCATGACATGTGGGCTTTAAAAAAAAATTTTTTTTGGTGGGTGGGAATGAGACTGACTCTTAAAACTAAGCTTTAAAAAGAATACGTAGCAGTAAACTGTGTCAAAAATTGTATTGGTTATTTAACGTAAATAACAAGTACAACAAATACATACTGAAAAACTCAAAATAGAAAACCCCAGATGAGTCACAGTAAATGTTCAAATACCTAAGGCAAAGTGCGTTTCAAATTCTTGTTTGCAGTGCCCAAGTAGTCCGCCGAGTAAAGACCATGAACATAAATGGGGTCTTTGGGTACTATAACGAAGATGGAAGGAAAGATCTTTTAAACCAAAATAATTCCAGCAAGTGACTGATCTTCCCATTCTGCAGGGAAGGTTTAGAGAGGATGGCCATTTGCACACTAGGACTGGTGCACTGTATTAACTTATGCATACACTGACCCACGGGAAGAGGGGGTTCAAAGGACAGGCAAGTGACAAATGATTAGACCATGGCCCGGCCGTACATTCCAGGTTTTAAACTATTGTGAATTCCCAGGTTGAAGAAAGTCATTACCGAAGTGAAAACAGGGACTCCAGTGTAGGGCTGGCTACCCTAGCCCAGCCCCCCACTCTGCTGAGACTCTCACGAAAGCCTACCAGGAAGTCTCCCTTGCCCCCCCCAGCTCTGGGTCAGGGTAGGCCAAGGAGTAGCAACAGCAGGGGGATGGTAGGACTGAGAGGGAGGGAGGGTGTTGGTTCCAGGCTTCCTCCCTCCAGGGTCCCCACTGGTTGTCTACGTCCCCTAACCAGAGGCCAGCTTCCCCTCAGAGGACCCTCTCCACACGCAGCTCTCTTC